CAAAGCGCTTTCAGAATGTACTGTGAAGTGAATTGACTGTATATTTAAGGAATTTATTTCTGGTTGATATTTTAGTCATTACAAAATCTTCATCGGATAAGCTTCATTGGATATAACATACTTATAATGGTTAATCTTGCAGCACATTTAGCAATGGCATTTGGCTAAGAGTACTGTATATTGTTTAATGCTTTAAAAGTTTAAACCTCAAAAAAAATCACTGCATCATTGGCACCTGGTACAAGCTGTAATTGATCAGAATTTTTATATCATGTTTCGGACAGAACACTAATCATTCCATGCTTTAAGGTAAACTGTTGATGAAATGTATAAAGCAAGAGATATACTATGATGTGGGATGATGACACAATTACATATTACTTCTCAATTCTTTTAATTCCTTGGCAATACGTATCACAACTCTGTAGTACATGGATTTTTGCTAAGTTGAAAAACACTGGAAAACTGCCTGGCGTGAAACAGAATGACCTCTCGGGTAATTTCATTATTAACCAGCTAAAACCACAAAGCTTGCCATTGAGAGCACTGCTTACCAGGCTAGGACCATTCTACCTATTAGGGCTTTGGCTTGCAGGCTTAACAGAAGTCGAGTGGGAAAGATCTCTGCTCCTAATCTAGATAGGGTTGATACCTCTAAGTCCTGCCAATGAGCCAGATTGGCTGGTGGTCTGTCATCAGCAGACATTCCATTGACAGACACATCTTGGAGCCACCTCAGCGGAAAGGAAACCCTGCTTACCTCTCTCCATGGCAAATAGTTAAGACTTCTTTGTGGCAACCTTATTCCTGTCATTGTTTTGATCCCCTTCGGGATTTGCCGCTTCAAACTTGTCTCACAAGCGAGAGGACCCATGTTCGATTCACGGGCAGGGTGAAAGTTTAAACAACTTTCCTTACTCCACACGCTTCTGCTTACCTAGCAGTAAGTTGGAACCTGGTTGTTAGCCAATTGGCGGATTGCTTTCAGGGCATAATAATCTCTTATGCGCTGCTCTGTGCAATTGACTGCCATGTTTCACCCACAAAATCTCCAATCAATTCACTTTACAGTATATTCTGTATTTTATTTTAATGGGTTCAGGCGCCAACTGAGGAAACTCAGAATCTGTGGCTGGCAATTTGGAGTTTCATCACCAGAGGGGAGTTCTCAATTCTAATCAGGCCTCAGAACTGTCTCTTTTAACTTACTAAAACTTAGAAACAGTTACATTCCTGAAATCAAGTTTGCGCTGGAATTTTCCTCCACAAGAACCACCTTGTCTAATCTCCTCTCCTGTTTGCTCCCCATATTCATAGTATGTGGAGAACTTATCATTTATGCCAGTCATTTTGTGTTTCTAAACGGTTTTAAATAATAAACTTGCCCTGGGCATTATTTGCGCCTCCAGCAAAAATGCCTAAGTAGCTCACTTGGATTGATTATAGGAGCTGGGAACATTGCTGTGTAAATTATGTTTCTGGTGAAATCACTGCTATAATTTATCTGTGCTAAACAATATGACAGCTTTCTGATTACAGAAGCTTTAGCCTAGCACTTTATACCAGAAATTGATGAAAATAACTACTGTCAGAAAGTAGTATTCAAAGTGTGTATATCCTACAATAGAAAGCACAAGGCTTTCTTTTTCGCAGCCTCTAATTGCCTGTCAATCAAATCATCTCCTCTTTATCCCAATTCTTGTATCTAATCTGACAAAACAACTTTCTGTCCATGTCACAATGTCACCTCTGATTCCATGCCTCTGAATCTCAGCTTCATTCAACGGATTTATAATTGTGACATTATTTACACAATTGTATTTAAAAACCCATCACTAAGATGATAACTTTTATCCAAGTAATGCTGCCATAAACAAATCTGTGCATTATGGTGATTTCAAAAAGGAGACATTATTTTTCAATGGTTTTGGTGCAAAAGATCACAAAGTTTCAGATAAAGAAAGCCGGCCCTATGGCTCATTTGACCTCATATTGGATTGATATCTGCACAACATTAAATTGTCAGGGGTTCGGCAGAGGAACAATTGAGTGATCTTATTATCTATTCGGGTGTGTGGTGTAAACTTAGTTGTCTTGTTGAAGTTCTTCATCTGTCCACCTCTGCAAATGAACCCAGGAACAATGCTGATCATGGACTTTTAGCTATGCAATTCCTATCATTTCACTACCTTGGAAGCAGAATCTGAAATCAAAGTGCAAAGAAAATTGAATTCTCAATAATAGACATTGTTAGCTCATATACTGTCTACAAAACAACATTCCGAGGTTTGAAAATTAAATATGAACAGTGATTTTGGGGATCAACTGTGAACCTTTGATTGGAATTCCTCAGCTCTCCAAGTTTGCCTTTCTCCTGAGATCTACAGGTTAATTGTCATTCTGTGAAGCGCTTTGAGACATCTGGAAGACGTGAAAAGCGCTATATCAAATGCAAGGATTATTATTATTATTATCTTCAACCTTAACATTGCTGTGTAAATTGGCTGCTGCTTTCGCCTATAAAACACAGTCACTCCACTCCATTACAGTATATCCTGTAAAGTGCCTTGAGACATTCTCTTAACATGAAAAAAAATTATTAAAAATATCCCATTAAGCTATCATTTGAAATCATTAATCCAGTATATTAGAATCCACCTGGCTCAGGAACTAGACAACCAAAACTGCATCCAAGGCCAAGGAGCTCAGAACAATGAAGGAGAACTATTTGGACACAAGCCTTATATGCCACAAACTTAACTTGCAATGGATCCTTGCTGTCATTGAAGAGAGATGAGAACGATCAGCGAAATCTTTGCCTGTTTTCAGCTCAATCCCAGAAGAAGTGTCAATCATTGTCTCAAAGTGAAAGAAAGGTCATTATTTTAGGTATGAAGCTTATTCAAAACACAAATTGATTTGGTTTGCAAGATTCTTCTGCTCAGTGAATGGCAGCAAGGGAGCAGCAACTGTTTTGAATGGAATTTTCAGAAGTGCAGGTATATGAATAAAAGGAATAAGTTTTCCCTACCGTTAAAACTGCCAGGGGGGTGTTCTATTAAAATTCTTCACGGCTGAGCAACGCAGGACAGCAGATAATACAGTCTGTACAGTCAAACACCATGTTCCTTAACAGCAACAAGTTCACTCACCAGCAGACTCCAGCACCTGCGGCTTTGCTTTGACTCCCAGGAAATGTTTGTGCACTCGCATCCTCCAACGTTGAGCACTCAACTGGGCAATTTAATTGCAATTCAGCAGATGAATTACATACTTGAAAATATGGATTTCTGTACTGCAAGTATTTCCTCAGGTTTAAAGGATACGAGATTATTTTAAAAAATGTACCCAAAAGCTATGATCTGGGAGCGCCAGACTCTCAATGAACTCAGGATAGAATCTCGAGACATACTGACACTGGTTTCTTCAGTCCACTACAGAAGGCAGAGTTGAGTTCTATAAAGTCTGTAGTGTAATGGTTACAGGACTCACCTCACAAGCAAGAGGACCTGGGTTTGATTCCCGGGAGGAGAAACCTTAGGCAGAGAGATAGAGTTGGGTGTCATCCGCATACATGTGGAAGTTGACCCCATGTCTGGGGATAATGTCACGGAGAGGGAGCATGTCTGGTTGAAGAGGAGAGGACCGAGGACAGAGCCCTGAGGAACACTACACTAGATGGTGTGGGGGCTGGAGGAGAAGCCTTTTGTGGAGACAAAGTGGAGCTGGTGTAAGAGGTAGGATCTACACCATTCAAGGGCAGAATCTTAAAGGTTGAGGTGAGAGGAGAGGCGGTGAAGGAGGGTAGAGTGGTCCACAGTGTTAAAGGCAGCAGAGAGGGTGAGGAGGATGAGGAGACAGAGGGATCCCTGGTCACAGATGGGCAGAATGTCATTTGTCAACTTGATCAGGGCTGTTTCATAGCGTGGAAACCCGATTGGAAGGATTCGTAAAGCGAGTGGCAGGAGAGGAATGAGTGAAGCAACAACATTTTCAAGGACCTATACCATCAATTCACTTTACCATATATTCTGTGAAGTGCTGTGAGACGTCTCAACGACATGATAAGGTGCTATATCAAATGCAAGGATTATTATTATAAGGCTTGCTTCTGTCACTTATTAAAATGTTAGTCTACATGGCTCACTGCAGAAGAAAAATGATATAAGACTTATTTTATAAGATTTTTAAAATTTATATTGCACTCTGTGTGTCTTCCTCCCCCTCAAATCCTCCTTCAACCAGAAAAAAGAAGGGCAAGGTTTGCTCCCCCCTATGAATGCTGATTTGAGACGCCATCCAGTGTGGAGGGCACTATATAAATCCAAGTTGTTGTTGTTAATTTTGGACAAAGCAATTTGCTGTTTGCTTCCACTTCAACAACAGCAACTTGAATGTTTACTACCCTTCATAATTGTACAAATCCATAATGCATTGTGAGAACAGCACAAGGAAATATACTTTGAAAGCATTGTGTCAGCTTGCCTCAGTTAGAAGCACTCACGCTTCTAAGTCAGAAGGTTGGTGGTTTAAGCCCCACGTCAGGACTTTAAATTTTAAACAGTCTAGACTGACACTCCTTTATTGTTGGAGGTACCGTCCTTCAGTTGAGACAAGATTCGGCTGCCTGTTTAGGTAGATATTAAAGATCCCACGTCCTGGCTAACGATCACCCAAATATAATTGGGCATTCACTTCCTAGCTGCTTGGATAATATTGCTGTGTGCAAATGCTTGCTGCATTTATTCTAACATTTGCACTACACCAACTAGACACCACAGTCACTACACTTAACATTGAATCTTGTGAAGCGCTTTGAGACATCCACCTGACGGGAAAGGCACTATATGAAATGCAAAGAGTATTATTACTGTCATAACTCCATTGGGAAATAGCTGATCTCAGCTAATGAGAGTCAATGTAGACAAAGTATGCAATCATGGAATCCTCAAAAAGGATACAGAGAACAAGTGAAAGAACAATGAAAGATCCTTCAAAACTTCGATTAAAAGTTTATTGATTTTTTTATACATAAACAACAGACCCCTCATGTGTACTGAATGAGTGTGTCTGTACCACCAGTTACCCAACATCAATGTACACAGTCAATTAAAACAAGATCTCAGCCATCATGATTAATGCAATCTTACTGCAGAAATTGCATTCGCTCTAAAATTTTCAATGTTCAACTGAGGCAAACCTAAACGTTGACTGTCCACTGGGGCTGAGTCTGAGAATCATCAAACATAGTTACCTCGGGGACTCCCACCCATTCCAGCAGTGGTTATTCTCCATTATACAATGGTCTGTACATAAACATTAAACATACTAAAATACTTTTAAAAAAAAGTTTCCCCCATGACTGGAGCGGAGTACTCTGCAGCATTATATGAAACAGGATTAATAAATGAAAATGTATGTGATTGACGCATAACATATTGTGAGGGCAGCACAGGCAAATATTACAGAGATTATTTCCCCAGTGAGATTTTGTGTGCAGGCTTATCTAACTGAGCAGGCAAGTCAAACACTGGGAATAGGAGCCCTACAGTCTCAGACAGGATAATTGGAAAAAGGCATTGGGAAGCTAAGCAAACAATTCCACATCTTTTGTTCATCATCAAGCTTTAACACGAATGTGAAGATATCTATAATATATCAATTCAATGACAGCAGGACAATCGCTGCTGTTCTTAATGCAGTTACATTTGGGAGCACAGCAGGAAACTTTTGGTTTATTTTTTCATATCTATAAGCCAAGGCAGATTGTGAATGTTGCTGTACAACACATACTATCACTTGTTTCAGATTTTATTTACTGAATTGGTTCCTCCGGTGAAATGATGCAAACTGTTGTACTGAGGCACAATTTATTCAAGGACCACAGACTTTGACAAACTCAGATTAACTCACACTAAATGCCTGAGTCACAAACACACCATTGTGTTACCTGCGGATGGTGTCTTTGGGACAAAGATGCTCATGGTCTCTCGGTTACTCCCAACTCCTGCATATTCACCAATCTACTCAAGTTTCTTTTAAAAGATCCTCTCAAGATAATTCTAATGAATACATTTCAACAAAGTTTTATTCAAAAATACTAAACAGCAGAGGAAAAGCAGAGCTCAAGTTAAGTAAGAATACAAGACTGCCTGAAGCATCCTTGCGTCTGGGGAGAAAAGTGACTGATGTTTTGTGTAATATGCAGTGATTAGTAGTGGGCAGCAGTGGTTTCCCTTGTGGTGATGCAGGTTACCTTTTGCGGGTGAGAAGTCTTTAGAACCAGTTTTCTGAGATGTAGATGTGCACATTCACGACATTGCGGTGAGAGAGCTGCCCTGACAAGTAGTAGTCCATTTCCAGCTTTAAGATCCCCGAGTATGGTCCGATAATTGGCTTCACCATTCGAACAATACCTGGAGGGAAAGGAAGGGATAGGCAGATTAATGGTTGCTGAAGGAAAAACTGCTGACTTACCATTCCAACTTTTAACCCAACAAACATCTCATTGAAAAGACAGGCCCTCTGACAACACAAGTCTCCTCTGGTACTGCATTGTAGTGCCGACCAATTATGAACTTAAATCCCACTGTGGGGCTCGATCTCACAGCTTTCAGACCCAGAGGCAAGAGTGCCACCGACTGAACACGGCTGACACCTTGGCCGACCACACAGACACACACTCAGCGTTGCAGAGAAGCATTGCTTGAGGCCCGAATGTTTTGTGAGACAGTAAGCTCCAAAAGAGTCAAGAATAAATGGAACCAAAAGCAACCTGAAGAATTGAAACCTCTGAACATAGGTCTTTTTACTGGAGGGACGGTGAAAAATCTTTGATGGGTATAAATTAAAATACGTTAAGGTTCATTTTGGCCAAGATCCAAATTTACTTCAAAATAGATGCAGAAGGACTCAGGCTCCCATGTGATTGTGTTTTATAGGAGTATGAGACTGTGCAGCATGCAATGTGCTGGAGTACTTTGGTGGCTTGTCCCAAAGTTAGATATGCAAGTGCATTCCGATGGATATGAGATGCATAGGCTGAGCAGAGGCACACCCTGAGATACACAGAGACTGTGGAACAGCCTGCTACAATTTGTGATGTCTGGGGGGACAAATTTATTCTCGTGCAGTCTTTCGTTGTGGTCACGCAGCGATGCTCTGAAGGGACATTTTCCAAAAGTTTTTAAAATACACACAAATAATTCATTCCAGTCCACAACGGTACAAACCCCACACTCATAAAACCAAACAGCAGCTTTTGTTTTTCTAATTAAAATAGCTGAGAAAGTGAATTATAAGCAGCTCCGTCTGCTTACACAAACGCAAGTGGGGTCTCCAGGGAGCCAGAGAGACAGCACAATGAGCAGAGAGTCCAGAAAGACAATCCGTCAGACTGCAAAACCGCCAAGATTCCTAGCTTTCATTCCCCAGGGAATATAGATTAAAACAAGGGAATTAAACAACAAGGAATGAAGCGTGAGAGTCTTTAAAAATTAAAAGCATCAGTTTCTATGATGGCTCAGTTAGCGATGTCATTCCCTGCTGTGAGACAGGATGGTGTAAGGCGAACTGGATGGACCTTGCTTTTCTTTTGTCCAGCAATTCATATGTTCTTATGACCAAGAAGTTCCCAGGTTTGATTCTTGATCTGTGCTGATTTAGTTGTTCTCAGCAGTAAGAGTGAGCAGCAGTAAGGATGTTTCCATTGGCTGCAATGTCATGGAGGTAAAACAAATTCCAGTGAGTTCTGCTGAAATCGACTCGTAAGTACAATACATAATTACATTTATATAGTGCCTTTGACATCGGAAGGATGTCCCAAGGTGCTGGAATGTGTTCCATCAAATCTAAGGAGGGGTACAAACTGCACAGGACATTCACCAATGGTGGAGTGGTGCTGGGCCATCAGATGAAGGCCCAATTTCAACTTTATCCAATATCCACGCATTTCAGCAGTTATCACTGGAATTGAATGTGGGTGTGTTTCACTGTCGCCAGCCCAGAATATCGAGGTAACACATTCAGTAAATATAAACGTTGCGCACCTCAAATGTTGCACATAACTCCATTGTACCTCAAACCTGAGCCAATATGATGACTTTTTATACTCCTGGAATAATAATAATCCTTGCATTTGATATAACACCTTATCACATCTTTGAGACATCTCAAAGCACTTCACATAATATACTGTAAAGTGAATTGACTGTATATTTTGTGGACGAAATGTGCAACCATACACACAGGCCCACACATTGCTGAGGTAAGAGGACTTCACTGTGGTTTAGATTATAAGAGGCTGTTGCAGACATCAGAGGGTTGAAGATATTTTGTCTGTGTTGCTGGGAATGAAGATGGGCTTCATTCTCATTGTGATCGCATGGTGTACAAGTGAGGGGATGATGTTTCCAAGTAGAGTGGCACATCACAGTGCTTGACAAATACCAACAAGAGGCGTGTAACAGACTATCTCTGTAAGAAAATGCTCCCTTTGAAGTCCATTCCAACAATTGAGAAAAGAAAAATCACTGTAGAAGTGGATTGCATGAGAACCCTGCCTCTGAGAGGTCAGGGCTTTATCTGGTCTATCGCCTCCAAAATACACAGTCACTACACTTTGCAGTAAATCCTGTGAAGCGCTTCCTCCCAACGTGAAAGGCACAATATCAAAGGATTATTATTTCCAGAGTGGAGTTCCGTTTAAGCTGGAACTCGGCTTCCATGTTAATTAAAACCAGGAATCTCTGCTAGACAGAGCCTGATATCTTGTAGAACTGAGTCAACAACAGTTACTGTAAGCACAGTTACGTAAAAAGATATACCTTTAGCCAGAGACACCATACTCCACTGACCATGCAGTTAGACTGTAACTCAAAACTATTCCAAAAATTTCATTGCTTGAAAAACATGGAAAGTTCAGGTGAAAGGCTTCAAAACATTGACATATTGCTTTTTGCTGTGTCACCACCGACTCTTTGGACTGACGTGCAGGCTCTTGAAATAATTTCTGAAATGATCGTGTTTGTTCTCACTCGAGACTAAGGTTATAAAGATTATCCCCCATCTCCAGGATGTTATTGAAATATATGGCTGCTCCCTCAATAGCGAAACCAGGTAAAATGACCTATATCAAAATGTGCTCTTTTGCTATTTTTATGGATCTACAGAGGCCTAAAATTATAAAGTGCACCAGACCATTCCAAATCAGACCTCACAACAATCTGGCTGCTATGTGCCACAGGTTTTAGTTGTCAGCTGCCATCATCTACAATATCACAAGAGTCCCCATAACAAGGGAGCACCTGATGGGCATCAGACCCGTAACCTGTGAAACTCAGTTTTAAATCAAGAAACAACCTGATTACTTTTGCCTTTTGGAGTTGTTAAATTGCAGAGGAGGAGGGGAAAAGCAGGTTGAGTGAAGAGCTGACCTGGGAACTGAAAGTCCTCCAACCCCATCTATGGTCGGACAGTTCCTCTGCTGTCAACAGTTCCTGATACTGTCAGGTGAAAGACCTAGCACACGCTGCAAGGCAATGCTGCAAGGTGCATCAGTCTGCCACATTGGTAGCACTCTCTCTTCCAAGTCAGAAGGTTCTGGGTTCAAGTAAGACATCGGCACTTGGAATCACATGGTCTAAGCTGACACTCCAATGCAGTGCCGAGGGGGTGTTGGATTGGCAGAGGTCCCGGCCGTCCTTCGGATGAGACATTAAATCGAGGTCCTGTCTGCCTGTTCAGTTGGTAGTTTAAGTTCCCATGGCAGTATTCGAAAAGAGAATACTTTTAATGGCCAATAATCCCCAAAATAAAATTGGTCACTCACTCCATAGCTGTTTGTGGGATATTGCTGTGCACAATTGTCTGCCACATTTTTCCCACAAAATGCACAGTCAATCCACTGAATATCCTGTGAAGTGCTTTGAGATGCCTCAATGACATGATAAGGTCTATATCAAACGCAAGGATTATTATTATTATCCTGCTATTTCCAGTGTGGTTAAAAGTGGAGCAACTCAGAGAATGTTTCATTAGTCTCTCCATGGGCACTGCTCGGCATTTTTGTACCATATCCAGAATATTATGACAAGGCTGGAGTGTCTTTTCTTTGAGCCACGGTACAAGTTAAAGCTGCAATTTATTAGAGCATGTAAAAAATATATAATGCTTTAAATTCTCAATTACAATGCCATTTACTTATCACATTGAGGAATGTGGGAATAAATCCAGTAATGGAAATAAACTATTAAAAGGTTTTCTTTGCTTTGCTTGATGTATTTGTTGATGTTAAACTATTATGTAAAGATTTTTAAAAAAAGACTGTTGGAGAACAGAAAGACCAGTGCATTTTTATAAAGCACCACTCAGAACAATGAATCCCGCTCCCCTCCCCACACACCCAACACACCTCCACTCAGATTGTTGTGGTCTGCCTCCTGCCCTCCCTCTCTGCTGTACACATCCAAATAACCACCAGACCATTCCAAATCAGACCTTCAGCCAGATACAATAAAGGGCGACATTGACCTGAACTAAACTGAAGAATCCAGATTCGACTGCTCGTAAAAACTGCTTGAAAATGTGCAACTCTCTTCTGCTCTGGGCAGGTTTCCACACTCACAAGCTTTGTTAGTGTGTTATTTCTGAGGTTCTTTTTCTGGGTACCAGTGAGGGTCCTCAATTGTGAGCACAATCCCGAAACCTTTTGCTGCCATTGAAATCAGTAATTGCAACTGTGTTGAATCAGAAAGTGTTCAGTAGCTTTATTTCTTTCTTTCTTATACTTCAATTTCCCCGCCACTTTGCAATTAGCTGAGACATGTCCTGAGGAGGTGATTGCAGGCTTGGTGAGGCATCATTAGGGTGACCCATTCTCCTATGTTTCCACTCCTCTCTGGGGAAGCTATCCTCTCCAACACATCTGACACTCAAGATATTGTGAGCACAAAGTTGGTGTCTGAAAAAAACACTGCAATTCACAGTGCAAAATGAAGGAACAGCGCCACCGTCCGACTAAAGAGGGTATTCACTCCCACCAAGACATTCACTTGCCTTTCTCAATCCATGTATTTTCACAAGTAGATTTTAACTTTTCGACGATTACCAGTGTCTGGCCTATACCAAAGTGTGTGGGACAAGCTTCCAGAAGGTGATTCCTCCCCCCATCTCCCTCCCCTAACCCATATAAAAGCAGCACTGCTTACCCACTGTTAGGGAGCCTTCTTTTCGTTTCAGAATATCAAAGGAGTTGTGGAAATTTCCGTCAGTAATGCGGAACATAATCTCTGCCTGGGCTTTGGGGAAGTTTGAAGATGACGCCCGGAGGAAGATGATCTCTGTAACACAAAGAATCACTGTCAAGTCCTTGTGCTTCTCCAGCACCCATCGGTGTCAAATAGGTTAGATGTACAGGACTCCACCCAAACCACAGAAAAAGAGAAGACAAAAAGAAAATATTACAGAGCGCACGAACATAGAGAGAAAACAGCCTCCGTACCACGAGCTAATACCCTGCAGTATTTTGCCCAGACTTCAGGAATAAAGACTATGCTTATCGTTCTCCAGGAAATGTCAGAAAGTCTAATCTATGGCAGGGAGTCATTTCACTGGCATTGCCACTCTTCCCATCCACCCCTTCTACCCCCAAGCTTCACATTAGTTGGACTTCCTTCAGAGCTGCCATCATGGTGCCAGTCTCACATCTTTCCTTGCATTTTACCCCTGACCAAGACTGATTTTCCTAATCTCAGCCACATTGCCTGCCTCCAACCTATCTGACACTGATGGCACCAAAACCCTCATTCACACATTTGTTATCTCCTGCCTAATCTGGACTGCCCACAAAACACCCAGTCACAGCACTCTACAGTAATCCTGTGAAGCGCTTTGAGACATCTTGATGACATAATAAGGCACTATCAAATGCAAGGATTATTATTATTTATAGACAAAGACACTCCTCACCGTTCTCCTTAGTTCCTTCATTTATAAGATACTGTACCAAATTCCATATTCCCTTCACCCCAGTCCTCGACAAACTCCACTGGATCTCAACTGATTGACTTCAAAGTCTGCACCAATGACTGATAGACCCTTTCATACACAAGCACCTCTCTATCTCTGTGATCTTGTCTATCTCAATCCTCTGCTCACGCCTTCACTCAACTAACTCAGGTTTGCTGCATTTCTGTTCTTTCCTTCACCCATCAGAAACTACATCTGTAATCTTTGGAATTCCCTCCCTCTACCCCACCTTCTCACCCGCTCTGTATCTTTCGCCAACAAAATACAGTCAATCCACTTTACAATGTATTCTGTGAAGCGCTTTGAGACGTCCGAACAACGTGATAAGGTGCTATATCAAGTGCAAGGATTATTATACATGTGTCTTGAAATCCAACCTAAAAACTTATGCTTTCAACCTCATCTGTGGTCACCTTCTCCTCTCCCCATCCCCTCTACTTAGCTTGGCTTCTGACCCTGCAGTTGCATAGTGCTCTGAGATGATATCCTACATGAAAGGCACTATTTAAACACAAATTGTCATCGCTGTTTTCAGTGTCTCCTGATACAAGTTGTGCAGCATTTGGGAGTGGGGGGGAGGGGGGAGTCAGACATCAAAGATCATGCAGGAGAGCATCAACTCATTGTATTGGGAAACATGGGCAAGGACCTCTGCAATCATTACTGAATAGTTTTGCAAATGTGATTCATTTAATTTCAGTTATTCCCCACTATCCCTTATTAAAACCCTCTGCTGAAATATTCTGAATGCTTCCTCCTCATCATCATCTCGACGTTTGACACTGTATGAACAGCCTGTGAGGAGGCTTGTGCTCCAAAACCAGTTTTCACTTGCCCTCTGATTTTCTTTCCCCCACAAGAAACAAGAGACGTGAGCCAGTGTGTTGTAGCTGCACAGTAGATTGTTTTGCCACACCAGTGTCATGGTCACTGGGGAATTAACCCGAGGAAGCCAATGTCCTTAAATCTTATCCTTTGCTTCTGAGGAAGCTCCTGCCCTGAATGAATTCATCAGTGTTAAATAAAGAAATGAGTGAATACAGTATAAGGTAGATAACACTAAGCTCAGCATAAAGGAAGGGAGTTGCCCTATTTTTCAATTAAATGGGTACCACTCATTGCTCTCACCTATTGCTTCTGTAAAATCTCTGTAGGTTGGAAGAGAGATCACAGTGTCGGAAATTGTATTGACTGGATCCAGAATGCAGACGGCATCATTTGGACGACAAAACTTTATGCATCGAAAAGTCTCTGTCCCATCAGCAGTTGCTCTGCAAAGTAAGCAACAGCAAACAACAGTTAATGAAGAAGGAAGCAACTGACTGGAATTCACACTAGATTAGCTCTGTGTCATTTGTGGATTGTATTGAAGAGATAAGACATCCAACGTAATTTAGGTTTGAAGAAACCTGGATGATGTAGTTGTAGTGGATCTGGTTCGCATGTGGGGTCCATGTCAGCTGGCGAGCTGAAAATCTCCTCTCTCTGTTGACTCCAAGGATCTTACATGAAATTAATTTGTGCAAAATTCTTAATTTAGATTCAAGTGAGCACACAAACAGTAATTGGTACTTCAATGGCGATCTGATACATAACGCCACAATTAGAGCCAGGGCAGGAAACAAGAACAAAATCACACTGTGTGAGGATGACAAAAATAGATTTGAAGTTTGGCCAGGATTGAGTTTGGCCAGCCTCCACCCCTAGTTCTCAATAGGTAGAGGCTGCTGCCCAAAGTGAACCATAATTAAATACTGATGGGCAATCTCACTCAGAAAGACAACAATAATGGTTTATGTGGGAAATGTCACACTGTTGCAGCAATGAATGCTGATCAGATGTTGGGCTTTACTACACAGTTTGGTGATTTGTGAGACCAGCATCTAACCCATTCTGATCCTAAGCTTTAGGTGCTTGACAGTGACCCTGAATCCAAACAGGAAACATACTTATTAATATAATCATCTGTCATTCTTGATAAGCATAAACGTTTAACATAATATTTTTTAAAAAACTAAAGCCACATGTTAATCCAATTGCGAAATTCAGATGAGGCATTAAAACATGAAAGCAAAGCTTAGTTATTTTATAACAATCCTCGACGGAAGCTGAATCTCCAAAATCTGATATGTAGGAAATTGTGAATGCCAATTCCTCTTGCTGGGTAGGTGTTGTGACTTTGACAATGTGCACTTGTGATATAATTTCCACAAACATTTGCGTTCATCCATGAAACACACGTTATCCTGTGAAACAACTTGAGACATCCTCCCAACGTGAAAGCCGCTATACAAATGTAAGGATTGTTATTATTAGTGTTAAACACATACTCCTCTCAGGAATTAACATCCGTTTTTACCATACATCTTCTTCGTAATATACGTATATGTATTTATAGAAATTAGATTTAAGGACCATTTGGATATCACAGGGATATGATGATTTTACGATGATATCAACAACAACAACAACAAGATTCCATTTATAAAGCGCCTTTCACATCAGGAGGACGTCCCAAGGCGCTGCACAGTTGGGTCATGACCCGAGCAGGGGGGAAATGGTCAGGGTGAGGGGAGGGGAGGGAGCGAGGAGGGGGGAAATGGTCAGGGTGAGGGGAGGGATGGGAGGGAGCGAGAAGGGGGAAGAGAGTCGAGAGGGGAGCTGAAGGCTATTATCAATGGATAATAGGTTTGTCTGTGCTCAATACCATTGTGCTGCTCTAAATTACAGAATCGTGTCAACTCTTCACCACAAAAGCTCTGGAAAAATACATTACCATACAATACCACTGCTCACATAAATATTTCTGATTCAAGAAAATAATTTTGCTGCAAGTCCGCAACAAAATAACATGATTGTGCTTCACCACTAGGCATTTTACAGTTTAAATCAATGAATTATCATTAGAAAAAGTCTCTGATACCTCGATTGAAGGAGAACTGACAGGTGTATCATAATCTGACCTTTCACACTGTGGAATATCTTAATCGTGTCGCTGGCAACAAGTGAACCAAGTGATGAGTGATGTGGTCAATAATCAGGAAAGCGGACCTCAAGAGGAGGAACGGGGCGGGGGAGTTATGGATCATAAGACACGCACAGGTCTGTTTGCTTAAATGATTAATGGGCAGAAATACAGAGGGGAAGAAGCAGTAAAGACTTTTTTTTAATAAATATTAAGGAGGCATTTTAAAAAAAATGTAAATTGAACTGATTTTTCTACTTGGTTACAAAAACTGAAACCTGCTTATCCAATGACTCCAAAGAACTCTGTGGGTTCTCAACCCGATATGGCAAGATGGACATCTGCTGTCAACAAATTGACTGAGGCAGTCTGCCCGACTATCTTTACATCTCGCTGCTCACTGCGATACAGTTAGCTGTGAAGCAGACTACAGATTGAGAACAACGAGCACTGCCCAAAGTCTCACATTTCACTCTCTGTGTGAGGAGCTAACCGTTGAGGCTGAAGTTTCCCACATCGCAAATATCTATGGGCTGTCTAAGATCCAAGAGCATCTTGGATGACCTGTAGATAAATGCAAGTAGTAGTTGCTGTTGTATGTATTTTTCATGTGGTTCTGTGGAAATCAAAGGAGAAAATGTCTCCAATTTATTACAGCCTGGCTACTCTAGCCCCTTGGATGCTGGATTTAAGGTGGTTACAGGACCATTCACTCCTCTTCCTCAGAATCCTCAGGGTTTATTTAGAATAGAATCATAGAATCCCTCAGCACAGAATAAGCCATTCAGCCAATCGTGCCTGTGCTGCCTCTCAGAAAGAGCTATCCAATTAATCCCACTGCTCCGCTCTTTTCCCTATAGCCTTGCAATTTTTTTTTCTTTTCAAGTAAATATCCAATTTCCTTTTGAAAGTTATTATTGAATCTGCTTCCACCACCCTTTCAGGCAGTGCATCCCAGATTGAAGCAACTCACTGCATTAAAAAAAATCTCCTCATCTCCCCTCTAATTCTTTTGCCAGTTATCTTGAACCTGTGTCCTCTGGTCACCCGTCAGTGGAAACTTTCTCCTTATTTATTCTATCAGAAACTCTCATAATTTTGAACACCTCAATTAAATCTTCCCATAACCTTTTCTGTTCTCTGAGAACAATACCAGCTTCTCTGGTCTCTCCACATAACTGAAGTCCTTCCTCCCTGGTATCATTCTGGTAAATCTCCTTTGCACCCTCTCCAAGATCTTGACATCCTTTCTGAAATATGGTGCCCAGAATTCACTTTTTTCAGAATTCTCTCTTGTACATTGTATTATTGAAAAAAATACTCTCTACATCTTAGTCATCTGAAAATATGCCTTCACTGAATGACAACCATTGATTTCTGTAAGGGGAAAAATTATTTTATTGAATATTTAAAAAAAAACATGAAATCATTACCTTGAAATACTGTACTGTCATATTCTCAAGTTTCCCATCTTACGGTTTAGCACCTTTCATACAGAACAGAATTCTACTACACTTAAACAAACTGAATTTGGAAACTTTGCTTCAGACAATGATAAAAAGGTACAGTGCATCACTTGTTTCACAGAATAATCTATTTCACTAGAACATCACTCATTACACAAAGTGATGTTAACACTTGTAGTACATGATCATACAGGAACCCAGAACAAAGCCGGGACTCAAAGACTTGTTGCTTTTCAGCAGTCATTTTGCCCCAGCAGTTTGATAGATCGGCCAATCACATCTTGTGAAGTTAGATTGACTCCCTGGTTATCAGATACAGTTAACATTGGGTTAAGATGGATTAAGTGGCCATACCTTTATGAAGATATATTGACATGAAAAAAAAGACGATTGTGGTTCAACAACCCAGAAAACATAGTATTACAGCTTTTTGCTGTTGCTCAGTTGTGTATTTCTATTTAAATGTTTTACATACAATAGTAATAAACTTTGGAGTCGCAGACCGCACTCAGTAATAGTCCACACGTGCACACAAGTACAATTCTGTACTTGCCTTACTTGAGTCTGCAGAAGGCATTTGGTGCTTTGCAGAGACCAGGATTCCCATGTTTATCAGCAAATAACACCATTAATGTGGAAAGTGTAGAAATATTGGAGCAAAGCTCCAGCGCTATGGTGTCAACCTAAAAATTCTACCCAGTAGTGTGAAAACCATTCACAGTTACAAATAAAGGTTTAAAAATGAAAAATCAAAATTTGTTTGGGAGTTCATACTTTCAGACATGAACAAAACGCAAAAGGAGAAAAATAGGATGCAACAGTTCATTGCAATGAGTAAGGATCAGCTCAAAATACCATTATCATCCCAAAATCCCAGCTCAAAATCCCGTCACTCCATGAGATAACCCACCTATTTTGATTATCAAAGAAACACAATGGAATTTTATCAAATAGGTGGGTTATCTCATGGAGTGATGTATGCATCCCACTCTGCCCTAACCCTCTGTGGACGTTATTGTGTGTGAGTCTAGCAGAAAAATGCCATGCCACAAGACTCATCTTTAAGTCACTGAGAATCCCACACACTAGGCCACATGCGCATGCACAGTAAATACAAGATTTGTTTTTTGTTTGTTTGTTTGTGCAATGTGGGTAAATTGGGAAAATAACAGTAAATCATTGTACCCACTGCTCACCCGACACAAGTCATCAAACCTCAGCAGTGACAACAATGTAGATTTTTGCCAGAAATGTGTTGCTGGTTCCATGACGCAAGAGCTGCATCTCAACTTCAAGAAGAAAATCGTTGGGCTCTGTGATTTTCTGCTGCACGAACACGATGCCACTGTGGTTATTCAGTTTCTGGGTGCTAAAGTAGTTGTCCTCATTGCCGCGGGTGATGGAAAGGAGAATGTTATCTCCAGGAACAGCGTTAACGGGCCCGATACGGAAGACATTGGTGGGCACGTGGATGTTGGTGGGGAAAGTGAGGTGATAGTAGGTTATTCTTAAAGGCAGGCTTTGGCACTCCTTATTCTCAATGCAAGGCAAGCGCTCACAGCGACTGGAAGAAAGTGAGAGAGGAAAGAGGGGTGTTAATGAACACAAGCAAAGCCAGCAAGACAGTGCAGCAGGAAAAAGTACGACCTTATATATGCTGGAATTTTATGGTATAGATCGTTGTGCTATGAAATTCAATGAGTTTTTTCTTGTAACACAGACAACACATAGGCAAGGTAATTATTACATCACATGCTGGAAAAGGTCTTCCTCAATTATATTCTTTTGCTTTTCCTTTTGCCTGCTTAACAATAACGTAGCAAGCTGGTAAAACTCCAGGCCGTAGCTAAGGCATGTTGTTCAGCAATTCTATTAACAATTTCACCCACAAAATAGACAGTCAATCCACTTTACAACATATTCTGTGAAGCATTATAAGACGTCTCAACAACATGATAAGATGCTATTTCAAATATTATTAACAAGCTGTGGCAAAGTTATCCTTAGGCATGATCTATATCTGAACCAATCCATGAACAGGACTCTGGAGTCCTGTAGCTCAGTGGTTAGAGCACTCGCTTTGCAAGTGAGAGACCTGAGTTCAATTCCAGGCAGGGCGAAACCTTGGGCAAGTTTCCTTACTCCACACGCCTAATAATAATCCTTCCAAAAACCAAAAACAATAATTAAATTGGTCATTTTCAATCTACGACTGTTTGTGGGACATTGCTGTGCGCAATTGGCTGCCGCGTTCGCCCACAAATATACAGTCAATTCACTTTACAGTGTGTTCTGTGAAGCGCTTTGGGACGTCCTCCCGACGTGAAAAGCGCTATATCAAATGCAAGGATTATTATTATTATTATTATTTAACAAGTGGTTATTAAACAGCCAGTCTTTGCTATGAGCTGTTGCTCCACCAATCAGTTCAAAAAAAGATGCACACACCTAGCTCACACACATACACGCAAAATGTAACCCTACTGTGATCAATGGAATTGCTGCAATACAAAATGAAACAGAAATGCTAAAGACACTGGAGCAACAAGATTGAACTGTTATTTTTTTAAACAAATGCTCTGATTTCATTCTAATTGCACCACGGAATCTGGCAACGTTCAGGTTCAACATTTTACAGAAAGTGCCTTTTCCATTCCAGCAAAACATCAAACTTCGTAAAAAGTTAAAGGGTTCCATTACGTATCAATGAGACTGGTACACACTGACAATGAATGCATCACCGACCATGGTGTTTAGTGCCACATAGATGTGAACCAATTCACATGGCATATGTGCAAGACAAGGGAAAATGTGTTTTTACCAAAAATGTTGCTCACTCTCAGCGAAAGGCTTTTGCCTCACTGCAGAACTTGTTGGTAATTTATAGTATTTTGGCTGCAGAATAAAGAGCAGGGGTTTGATTTGAAGAAGAGCAATGAAACAGATGTTCAACCCCAGCAAAAAGTGTAAGACAATAATACATCATCAACTGCAGCACATGGTATAAGCTGAGCACATCATCAACTACAGCACATGGTATGAGCACATCATCAACTAGAGCACATGGTAGGAGCACATCATCAACTAGAGCACATGGTATGAGCACATTATCAACTAAAACACACAATATGAGACTGAGCACATTCTGTACTTCAGCACATGGTATGAGCACATTATGAATTACAGCACATGAGATAAGACCGAGCACGTGATCAACTACAACACATAGTATAAAACTGAATACATTATCAATGATAGCATGTGGTCTGAGCACATTGTCTTACAGCCACACGATATAAGACTGAGCACATTGTCAACCACAGCAAATGATACAAGACTGAGCACATGATCAACTGCACGGCATGAGCACATTATCAAATACAGCACATAGTACAAGACTAAGTATATTATCAACAATGAATCACAATGTAAGACTAAACATATCAACTGCAGGAATGCTCTCTTGTAAACATCAGGAGAACAAGTCCTCAAACTCTGTATGTTCTGGAATAATGTGGTTCTTGCACCCAAAACACATAACCTTCAACTCGTTACCCGCCTGAAATATTTTGGTGACCCAAGAAATAATATTACAAGACCAAATATGTTACTTTTCAACTACCTGAAGATCATTTGATAATTTGGAAGCAGAAAACCTGAAAAATCTCATTGTTACAACTAAACATGTTACAACTATAACAAAAGATTTTCTGAACTACCTCAAATAATTAAGCAAATCGTGCAAAGTCAACCAGCTGCTTCTGTGAGGAAGAAATAAATTAGTGCCCAACTCCAGTGGGAGTCTCTAAGCCAAAATGCAAGAATCTGACTCCCAGCTTGAAGTAATGTTATATCATGGCTATGATATACACCGGATGATGTCCAGGCTGCCAAATGAACCTCAGTGCTGCAGCCAAAATAGAGGAAAATCAAGATGTAACAGAAATTCATCACTTAGCATGAACAGGCAGAAGGCAGCCAAGGAACAAGAGAAATCAAAATCTCTAGGTTGGAAAGACATTTTGTGGTGCATAATTATTCAGGCAATGAGCCCATTTCATTGTCAGAATGGTTGTATTTGATCAAACAGAATGAACAAATGCTTAACTACATTAATACTGTTTATCATTAATATTTCTGTAAGGAGGTTGATTAATTTGGGTTAGTTGTATCCAAAGAGATTGTGTGAGGGTCATTGAAAATAGCGATCTGTTGTGGTAACTGCAGTATTGGGACAAGAAGTCAGGCACATGGTTTTTCCCACCGGTGCCACAAATACAGTGTTAAAATTAAACAGGATGATTTCACCCTGCCCGGGAATTGAACCTGCTTGCGAGGCGAGGGCTCAAACCAATATGCTATGGGACTACACTCCAAATAATGTTACAAGCTTGGCAAAGAATTGCTTGGCCTCCAGGAATTGCCAGAATTGGCAGGAGAGCCTTACAAGTATTGATAACCTTCTGGTGAAAATGTGAGAATCCCTTGTATTACATTATTAAGGCTGTGAACCTACCCGACAAGGACATGGAGCTGTCAACAGCATTTCAATGGCAGTGATCTTTAACAGTACAAACTTCTTTAACTTACGTTTCTGAAGACTTCCGATAGTTTTCTGGGCACTTGAAGGCCATGCAGCGGAAGCTGCCTTGAACGTTGAAACAGCTTTCCCGGTCAGAGCAGTCGTGCCTTCCTGTGATGCATTCATCGATATCTGCAAAAGGAACCAGAATATAAATTGGCTGAAGCAATGAAATTTGCAGATTTATTGGTTTGTCCTTGTCCTCAAGTGAATCACATAAAGGCTAGGGATACTCAAACATAAGCAATGTAAACGGCAGTTTAGGCCCTCAATCTGCTCAGCTATCTACTGTTCCATTGAACTTTGTCTGCTGGGAGAGCACCTCAGTGGTTGAGGTGATGAGGAAATAAAAACAGGCTTTATTGTCAATAATATCTTGCATTTCTTATCTTCCTATGGGTCTCACAAGTGAAGTTACAGTCGTCTCTGGTTATCCCATGATAATACCAAGTTCAGGTGACAAAAATACACTTCTAAGTGGAGCAACTCCACTGGGAGAGTGCTCCAGCTGACAGGTTGGCCAAGTATTGGCAAAATGAATCCTGTTGAAGGAAGCCAAAATTTCAATCACAGCTTTGATTTGAATTTACAGAACTCTGATCGGAGTTTATTCTTTTGTGAGAGGCACTGGGCCAGCATTTGAAGACCCAATGAACATGAGAGTATCTTGGTTGATGACCAAATCCATATCAGAACTACCATTTCTCGAAAACTATTTCTGTCAATTTAGGGCTACCTTAGCCAAACTTTTTCACTTTTTGCAAATCGAAATAGTTCATCTCAAATTACTAATATATTCCGGTTGTGTTAGACTACATTCAACTCCTGATTCATAACTGATCAGAGCACAATATTTCCAACCAACTAAATATCCTTATCAGAAAAAAGATAGCTGAGTTAATCACAACAGTTTTGATGCTTATCGGATGTTGGTAGGCAATCCACAGTTGATCATGTATGCACTAACAAAACATTATATTTTGTACAACACAATTGTTTACATTTATATTCAGTTTTGGCAGCAAGCATTGCAGTGGAGAGAGGTATGTAAGTTGTAACTGGCAACAATGAATGAAGAAGGGAGACTTTGTCACTGGTTTATGGTCTTTGTGAAGCTGAAACTGCCTTCAAAAGGAGTTAAGGACAAATCTGAAATCCTCTGCATATTATATTGTCAACTGCAGTTCGGACTTGTCTGAGAGTTCAAATATCACATGTTTCACTGAAGTAACAGCTCGGCAATGAGAAAAGCAGTTTCATTATTTACCAATGAGTTTGCCAACTGAAAAAGTAATGTCTGAGTAATACAGTGAACATGTATGCACAATATCCTTCTTTTCCTTTTTTTAAAATTCTGCTCCAGTTCGTGTTCCCAGGGGACAGCTCCACTCTGTACAGAATGGCAGATTAGCACTCTGAGCTCCAAGCACTGGCTCTCAGCATAAACAAGAATCTGACGGAATCAGGATTGCAGTCCAGCACAGCCTTTATGACAGACACCAAAGTGTTTCAAGGGGCTCTTCAAAAGTTTCAAACTAAATATTACACTTTGGAAATTTGAGAACAATTGTAAAGATCACAGCAGAGTCAAATTCCACTCCCAGGTTGGTTAAGCAAAGAAAGCCAGTCTGTTTGGCATTGCAGGTTTCAATCTTCCTGACGTGAACCTTTTAACACCAAACAATGGTCACTGAAGGTGAAGTGTGGTTTAATTCAGGAACAGTGCTCCAATCACCAAGGTTGCTCATTAAATAAGCTGCGCTCCTCATCAATTCTAATTTTTGTATTCACTTGCTTCATACCTGCTCTCAGCTTTGCACAACTTGCTGCAGTTTGTCCCCGTGGGAACTAATGCAATCATGAAACTGACAGAATAATCTGTTGGAGTGCAGGGCACTCAAAGAGACTCTGTCTTTATTGCAATGAGGGAGAGCGACCACAATAACCTTGTGACATGTTCATCAGAATAAGATTTCTGCAAAGCAACTGTGCCATCTTGTTATAAAGTGTGGGGAGCGACTGGTCCATGAAGATGTTTTCTTAAAGACAGCACCCCTTAAAACTCTTCATTATTACAGCTTCCAATTTTATAATGGTGATATTTTTGCTGCACTCTCTAACATTTGCACATCAATTTATTTATAACAATATGATATTTACCAGTTGGTCTTAATCTTGCAGTTTTAGAAACTCGTTTACACCTCCAAATCTCATTGATGAGCCAGACAGGCTGGTCAACCATTCGCATTGACTTAGATTATTGCAGTTCTGCCTGATTTGATCAGGCAGGACTCAGATGTCAGCAGAGCCATTTCAACCCCAGAGAGATATTTCTTAGCTTCCCTTCCCTTCCCCCATTCACTCAAGTATCAACATTATGACGAAGCATTCAGAGATCCAGCTCTGAAAACTCACCTCAGTGTCTTTCAGGAAAGTTCACATTGTATAAGTGGCTTTAACTAGAATTTTATGACCTGAGATTTTCATTGAAAATAGTATGTTCTTCTGAAGGAAAATCTAAATAATCGAACAGCCAGATCGTTCAATAGTTTCAGCAGCAACCTTCTAAAACCTGTGCATGTCTCATTTGTAAATGATGTTTTTCACCCTACAACAACAAAAATAAAAGCATGTTGCAGCTGGCCTTAAGGAGGTCATGAATTCAATGTGCATTTCATGTTGTGAGTTTGTCAACAGAGTTTGTATCAAGAATGAAAGACAGCTCTGTGTCTGGCACGCAAGTCTCCATCCTTCCACTGCAGTTTTTCTGTGTGGGCCTAGACATGCAGACTTCAAAAGACTATAGGCACTGAACCGGAAAACATAGGTCAGAGACTGCAAGACAGTGTGTAGGATCAAGCCAACAGTTTATCAGGGCCAATCTGACCTGTCATCTCCCAGGTTTCAGCGCTGATATAATAATACCAGTGCTACCCCCCCATGCATTACATTGGATATATATTTCAGAGGAAGGCTTACACAAGGAATCTTTAGTTGCATATAAAGGATATTTACTTTTGGAAATGGCACAACTGAAATTAGATTACAATTGAAAACATCTCTATGCCTCATCATCATCAACATCAAGGACAAAGACTCCTCTTTATTTGATCAAGTCTCTGATTACGAGCCTGAATTCTAAAACTTTGCTTTGCTTTATGAGGCTGTTTGTCCTCCACCTTGTTCCATTTTTCTCACCACTGAGCCTCCTGGGTGAACCATTGCCTGTGGCCAGAGAACCCACTCTCAGGCTTTGGATTCAGGCTGCTTCTCACACGGAGAGGTCCAGGGAGGTTCCTCCCTTCCGTGTCCCTTTCTGGTCCTTGTAAGGAGCTGGCTGTCATTTCACAACAAACAACAAAAAGAGCAAATTGAGAGAATCAAGTCTATATCTCAAATCCCCCAAAATAATTTAATGTCCTTGTAGTCAGGATGTACCTAAATGCATTTTTCAAAAGGTAGAAAACTTCCTCCCTCATGACTGCAGCCTGTGTATGATTGGAGCTTTCACGATCATGAAAGAACAGTGTCCTACTTGAAAACGTCAGCTGGAATTATGAAACAAAGTTCAGCACAGGAGAAATCGACCTTACCTTGACAGCTACGTCCGTTTTGAGCGAGATTGTAGCCAGTTGATGGGCAGGAGCACTTGAAGCTGCCAGGAACGTTGATACAACGGTAGGAGCAGATATTGCCTCCTGCAGGCAATGCGCACTCATCGATATCTGTCACAAATGCAGAGGAAGGCCAAGTGAGAGAAATATCACCATCGGTGTAGGTGACATAAATGTGTTAGTAACAATACAACGCAGGGGGATGGGGAGATCCACTTAGTTTTCACTTCACCTGAAAGAAAGCGATTGATTCAGGTTGATATTGAATTTCCCACTTCCATTGCCCTGTTCCATTTGCCCAATGTTTCTCCCTCTTACAAAAAAAGGAAACTATTCATATACGACACAACAGGAGCCTATTCAACCACAATGTCATTTTTGAAATGTTGCTGGTACACAGTTGCTGCCAAATAACTATAGAATTAGGTTAGCAGGATACATTCCTCCAGAGAAAGACTGCGTATTCCATTTCAAAGAAATCTCCACGTGTAGGTGCTACGCATTTGTGGAATTCTCAGTCTGATGTGGAAAATCTTAAGCATGGTGAAGGGATTCACACATGTGTTAGACACCTGGCTGACCATAACAATATGAGAATCACAGATTTCTCTTATCTTAAAAAAAAGTCCAAATCCAATGAAGATAATTTGGGAGAAAATACAATAAGGAAATAATTTATATCTTACCTTCGCAGGTTATCCCATCTGTGTCACTGAGCCTGTAACCAGAGCGGCAGTAGCACTGGTACGAGCCATACATATTTGCACATTCTTGACTGCAGGGATTGCCCTCACACTCGTTCACATCTGAACACACAAAGAGCAAAATGGTTGAGATCACACAACAATAACAACAAAATTACATTCATAGAGCGCCTTTCATATCGGGAGGACGTCCCAAAATGGTGAACAGTCGGGTGTCGGGGCCCGAGCATGGGGGAGGGATAGTGTAGGGGTGAGAGAAGGCAGAGAGAAGGGAGGGCGACCGAAGGCACGATCGAAGAGAAGGGTCTTGAGACCGGCCTTGAAAGAGGCAAGGGAGGAAGCGAGGCAAAGGGACCGTGGGATGGAGTTCCAGAGTGTGGGGGCAGAGAACCTGAAAGCCCGGCTACTAATGGTAGGGCGGGTCGGGCGGGAGACATGGAGCAGACTGGAGCCCGCTGAACGGAAGGAGCGGGCAGGTTGGTAAGGAGTCAGCAGGTCAGAGAGGTAGGAGGGGCCATAGATAGCCTTGAAAGTGAGGACGAGGATCTTTAACTCAATCCTCTGGGGGATGGGAAGCCAGTGGAGTCGGGCGAGGGTGGGAGTGATGGGGTCACGGAGCCTGGTGCATGAGAGTACACAAGCTGCTGAGTTTTGGATGATCTGCAGCTTGTGAAGGGAAAAGTTGGGAAGGCCGATAAGGAGGGAGTTCCTGTAGTCGAACCTTGATGTGACGAATGCGTGGGTGAGAGTTTCGGCAGCCTGAGGGGTGAGGCAGTGGCGGAGTATGGCAATGTTGTGGAGGTGGTGGTAGGCAGTGCCAGTCATGGCACGTATGTGGACGAGAAAGGACAGTTCAGGGTCTAACAAGATACCCAGGTTCCTGACTGGCTTAGTGGGGTTGAGTGTGCAGCCGTGGAGGCTGATGCTGCCAGCACCCGAGGTGCGGAGGCTCTGGCACGAGCAAATCAGGAGGGCCTCGGTCTTGCTGACGTTGAGTTGGAGAAAGTTGTCCCTCGTCCAGGCTTGATGTCGCACATGTAGTCGGTCAGACACCAGTAGTCCTGGAGTTCAGGGTGGAGGCAGAGAGGTAGAGTTGGGTGTCATCCGCATACATGTGGAAATTTACCCCATGTCTGCGGATAATGTCACCAAGGGGGAGCATGTAGAGGATGAAGAGGAGGGGACTGAGGACAGAGATCTGAGGAACACCGCACGAGATGGTGGGGGGACTGGAGGAGAAGACACACAACAATAACAACTTGCACTTATATAGCGCCCTCCACTCAGGGTAGCGTCTCAGAGTGTTTTACAGTGATGGAGCCTGGCTCTGAGATGGGGCGAGGTGGGGGAGGGGGAGGGTGGGGAGGTCGAATAATAAGGTCTGAGGGTGGGACTTGAAAAAGGGGAGGAAGGGGGCAAGGCGGTGGATTGAGGAAGAGTGTTCCAAAGTTTCGGGGCAGAGTGGCTGAAAGTGTAAGCTCCAATGGTGAAGCAGAGGTTGCGAGGGACAAGCAGGAGGCTGATGCCAGTCGAGAGGAGGTGCTGGGTGGTGGATTGGGGAAGTCCGCGAGGTAGGGAGGTGCTAGGGAGTGAAGCGATCAGAACGTGAGAGTGAGGATCTTGAAGTCGATCTGTTTGGTGATGGGGAGCCAGTGGAGTCTGGCCAGAACTGGTGAGATGTGGGTACAGAGTTTTGTCCTTGTCAGCATGCGGGCAGCAGAGTTCTGAATGAGCTGGATTTTTTGAATAATGGAGCTGGGGAGACCGGCAAGGAGTGCATCTGAGTAATCCAGGCAGGAGGTGACATACGCATCCACAAGGTTTTCGGCTGCATTTGGGATAAGGTACGGTCGGAGGCTGGCAACGTGGCGGAGGTGAAGGAAGGCAGTCCTGGTCAGGGATGGGATATGGGGGAGCAAGGAAGCTGTGGGTCAAACCGGACGCCAAATGGCGCACTGGTTCGGTGAGTCTGAGAGAGAGCACAGGGAGGTTGAGGAGTTTAGAGCCACCGGAATGAAGACGGTGACGGTGAAAGAGTATGGCTTCCATCTTGTCCACATTCAGCTGCAGGAAGTTTGCACTCATCCAGGCTCTGATGTCTTCCAGACAAGGCTAATAGAACATCGGCGGACCTGGAGTTGATACTGGAGGAGGCAAAGTAGATTTGTGTGTCATCCACATACAAAAGAGGGCCAAGGATGGAGCCCATGGTACTCCACAGGTAACCGGGCGGGGGTGGGAGGAGAAACCATTTGCCGAGATGAAATGAAATGGAGGTGGTTGGTTAAGTTGGACTTGAACCATGCAAGCGTGGTCCCTCTGAGGTGAATGAGGGAGGAGAAGCGGTAGAGGAGGATGGCATGGTCGACTGTGTCAAACGTGGCAGAGAGATCCAGGAGGACAAGCAGGCAGAGGGAGCCCTGGTCACAGACAGAGAGGACTTCGTTTGTGACTTTGACAAGCGCTGTCTCCGTGCTGTGGACAGGGAAAAACCAGGCTGCAGGGGATCGAAGAGGGAGTGGAGGAAATGATGTGACCAAAGTTGACTTGCAATAATGCGTTACAGGACTTTGGCAAGGAAAGGCAGATTGGAAATGGAATGATAGTGTAAGAGATTAGAGGGATTGAGGATGGTTTTTTTGAGGAGGGGTATGATAACAACAGTTTTCAGGGGGAGTGGAACAGAGCCTGAGGAGAGAGACTGGTTGACCGTGTTGGCCAGCAGGGGGGAGAGAAGGAGGAGTTGAGTGACCAGCAGCTGGGTGGGGAGGGGGTCGAGGCAACAGGTGATGAACTTCATGCGGGTGATTGTGGTTGAGAGGATGGAGAAATGGGGGCAAAGGAGTGTAAGGACAGGTGATTGGCAGGAGCCATGGCAGAGGGAGAAGGCAGAGGAGATGGTCTGGGTGGGCTGGAAAGGGACATGGCGGTGCAGACGATGCAGCCAAGCGGATGTTTTGAATCTTTGATGCAAAGAAGTCCAGGACCTCTTCGCACTTGGCTTTTGATGTGAGGATAGAGGGGACTTGAGAGGGGAGCATGGAAGAGTTGATGGATGGTGGAAAACAGTGTATTTGGATTGTTTCTGGCCTCCAGGATAACTTTGGAGTAAAAGTCAGTTTTGGCCTGCGGAAGGGAGAGATCGTAACAAAATATGAAATGTACGTTTAGAAAATATGAAATGTACCAGGCAAGCACCGGGTAAAGGTAACGATTGATTCAGATCCAACACAGTTTAGACAGTGTTGATGTTTCCTTTTTAAGAGAGCGCTGAGCTTCATACCTTCACAGTTCCTTTTGTCGATCGAGAGCTTGAAACCTTTGCTGCAGCTGCAGTGGTAGGAGCCTTGCGTGTTCTCACAGTTATGGGCGCAGAGGCGTCCCGGGTAGTGTCTGCACTCGTTTTCATCTGAGCGTGAGTGGGAAAAATGCTATGAAAATCGGAGGTAGCAGATTCCAGAAACTGGAAGCGCGGGTACCTGCTTGACTATGCTGGCAACTTATGGAAAAATAACGTGCAGGCAAGGACAAGAACAAAAACATGGAAAAAGGGAGGTTCTGCTGCTCCACCAGCAGCCTGGCTCACAGAGGCCTGTAAGATGTGGAATACACTGCGCACAAGTGCCATGGATGCAAAATCTTTTGCAATGTTTATAAAACTACTTGGGAAGTTAGGGTGTGAAGGTTTCTACGAGAGGAGATAGGGAAATGGGAATAAATGATCTGCTATGATAGGGGTGTGTGGGGGGGGAATAGCCTCCTCATTATTTCTTTGTTCCGAGAAACAGTGTTAAGATTTGCTTTGTCAGATTTAAGAACAAACCCTAGTGGACGTCACAGTGCACCCCGCTTACCAATACACGATCTAGAAATGCTGTCAAAGAAGTAGCCAATCCTGCACTCGCAGCGATAACTGCCAGGAGAATTCACACAGAAGTGACCTTCTCCACAGGGGTTGCTCCTTGCTACACATTCATCAATATCTACAGGAAAACAAAGGGGGACAAACAGCATGTTGTCATAAGTAATATAAGACACAGCCAAAAGGTACCACAACACCAGTCAGGCCTTCTTGACCAGCTAAATATAGCATTACAAGGTTATATTGATCAACTCAGTCAATCCAATTCCAATCAAACAAAAGTCCAGCTTAAATTTAGATTTTCTTGATGGTTGATTCAGTTTTCTCAATTCTAATTCAACAATTTCTAAGAGAATCCTGTTCTGCACAATTGGGCACATTGTACAGGTTCTCTAACCAGAACCGCTGGACGAAGCCAGACAGACTCACCCACACACCGAGAAGCATCATCAGAGAACCTGTAACCTCGGCCACAGTTCACGTTGTTACGCTGACAGACGAATGAGCCAATGGTATTGAAGCAGTTGTATCCAGCGCGGCAGGCCCTGGCGGAGCTGACACACTCATCGATATCTGAAACAACGTCCCCCAACAAGATAAACCTATCAGCCAGTCGGTAGCACTCATAATAACCTTTACATTTGATATAGCACTTTCATTCTGGGAGGATACCTCACTGCACTTCACACAATTTACTGTAAAATATTTGTATTACATTGGATTATATTTGACTGTATTTTGCTGGTATTTTACCTCTGGGTCAGGGGTAGTGGGTTCAATTTACACATCTAGAACTGAGCTCAAAGTTCAGACTGACACTCTAGTGCGGAAGTGAAGGAGAGCTGTTTTATTGGAGGTGTCAGTCTTCAGTGAGGCATTGCACCGAGAACCCATCTGCCTGTTGTGTTGGATATAAAATTCAGTGCTCTGAGATGCTACCTTGCCTCAATATAATAATAATAATACTTGCATTTGATATAGCACCTTATCACGTCTTTGAGATGTCTCAAAGCGCTCCACAGAATATATTGTAAAGTGAATTGACTATATGCATTGTGGGCAAAATTGCGCACAGCAATATTCCACAAACAATTGTGGATTCAGTGACCAAAGTATGTATGTATGTACGTACATACGTACACACGCACACATGTATGTATGGGATTAATGCTCCTAGGAAAGCGATCTACTAATCGACTAACAACCAGGTTCCTACTTACTGCTAGATAAACAGAGGTGTGTAGAGTAAGGAAATTTGCCTATTGTTTCACCCCGCCCGGGAATCAAACCCAGATCCTCTCGCTTGTGAGGTGAGTGCTCTAACGAATATGCTACAGGACTCCATATATGCTACAGTACATTGAATACAAGTTTTTTTTAATGCTTTTGAGTGACCGATTTTGTAGGCAAACATGGCATCCAACACGATCCCATGAACAACTCTATGTGAATGAGCAATTAATCTTGGCCAAGACATCAAGAATTTTTTTTCAAAGCTTCATCGGACCATCCACCTGCCCTCTGTTTAATGTGAGTATCAGTAACAGCACCTTGGACACCACAGCATTTCTCAGTCCTGCACTGGAGGGTCATTCTAGAATGTAAACTGGAGTCTCGACATGTGGCGTGCGGTTGTAAATTGAGAAACCACAAATTGTTCTGCATATTCCAATATTCATGTGGGAGTAAACCACACATCTCATTTCTTGCCTCTCTTCCTTGTCAATAAATTGCTCCTTAAATATATATCAACATTGCACTGGCGTACTTCATGTCCCCTGCCACACCAACAGGCCCCTAATCTCTGGAACTCCATCCTGGAGTCCTTTTGGGTCACCTCTTCCCTTGCCTCCTTCAAGGTCCACCTAAAGACCTTTCTCTTTGACGACGCTTTTGGCCATCTTTCCACCCCCCTTACCGTCAACCCCCATTCAGGTGCAAATCCTGGACTGTTTAGCACCTTGAGACATCCTCCTGAGGTGCCATATCAATGTAAATTTTTATTGTATTGCATCGCTAATTCTTACCAATGCAGCTCCCTTGAGCATCTTGCAGAAATCCAGTTCCACACTGCATCTTTGGCCGGCAGCGGAATGATCCTTGTGTGTTCTGACAGAGGAAGTTAAACCCACAGTTGTGGGTTCCAGTCTCACATTCATCAATATCTGTTAGATCCAGAATAAAACAATACTCATAGAAAAACAACACACACAGGAGATTTACAAAGCTGCGGTCACACACTTGGGAGTTAAAAACTGAACGGTAAACGGTAGGAGTTGCTCAGCACAGGAAACTTGAAGGTAAAAAGGCATTGGTGCCAGATTGTATTGCAGGGCAGTATGAGAAAAGCCATCATGGACATGGCAGCCAGGGTCCTGGAAGTGGTGCTGATCTCTCATTGACCTTGTGATAATGCTGCACAGCGTCAGCGAAAACTATGCAAAAACCTCAGTTCATGTTTTCTCCCATAAAATATAGTCAATTCACTTTACAGTATATTTTGTAAAGCGCTTTGAGATGTCTCAAAGTCATTATAAGGTGCTATATTAAACGCAATCTGAACAGAGGAGATATCACTGAATCTTAGTGATAGAACTGGCTGATAGTACATGGGAACAAGGTGCAACAAGATTTACAATCCTAAACCAAGTTCCATTTCCACAGCCCAGTAATCACAACACAATCCAACTGCCATGAGGAATACTCCAGTGTGTTCTGTACAACTGGGCTGAAGCCCAAACACAGCAGAAACATCCTCCCTGCTCCAGGACACTTAGTCTATCCATGACCGGAGAGCTCTTGTCAGTTCCTATCGGTGATTATTGCTGAATAATAATCCTTGCATTTGATACAGGGGCTTATCACATTGGATGGATATCTCAACGCGCTTCAGAGAATTTGTTGTGATATGAAGTCACTGTATATTTGTAGGCAAACCTGGCAGCACAATTGCACATAGCATTGTCCCTCAGACAGTCATGAAATGAGTGACCAATTTTATTTGGGGGATTGTTGGCCAGGGCACCAAAAAAACACTCCCTTCTTTCAAATAGTGCCATGGATGTTTAACGTCCACCTGAACAGGCAGACGGGATTTCGTGTCATCTGAAGGACAGCATCTCTGACAATGCAATCCACACCACCCCAGTGCTGCATTGGAGTGTCAGCTTAGACTATGTGAGTTCAAGCCTGTTGTGGGATTTGAATCCACAACCTTCTGACTCAGAGGCAAAAGCGCTACCACTGAGCCAGGCTGACACATCTATGCCACATATAAAAGAATACTATGCCACATATAAAAGAGGTGAAATTGGTCAAGGCTCAAGTTAGTTGGAGAGGAGCAGGGGATGGATGTGGTCTGAGTAAATATAATGAACAATTATGCTATAAGTGCCCAGTGAACCACCAGAATCCAAACTTCACAGCCTTTTACAGGAGGTAAAGTTGAGTACATCACATTTCTGTTTGATAATAACGGGGTAGAAGTAGTTTTTAAACAGGGACTTTAAAAAATTCAGCTTTGGAAGCAAGAAATATTCAGCAACCAAGAAAGGGACTTCTACTCCTATACTACAGGAGCCAGACTTGGCTTCTATTGTCACACAAAATACGAAACTATAAATCAATCAAAATAATGTGAATCAGACATTATTTGCCGGACAATAAAGGGCAACTTAACATCACTAAATTAATAACAATATCAACCACTGAGATAACTAAAAATATTATCTAAAAGTCATCACATTCCACTATTTTGCCATAATTCCTACAGAATATTGCCCATTTATGCCCTTATCACCTCCAAACTGACTGCTGCTGAAACTCTTATTCAAACATTCAGTGGCTCAAGGACAGATTTGTTTCCAAGCTTTCCTCAAGCTTATTTACAATCATTGTACTAGTTTTCAAAACCCTCCTCAGCCTGCCCAATCCTGGCTATATAATCTTTCCAGCCATATTTGTTCGGATCCATACCCTCTGCTCTTCCATTCTGCTTGCTCTCACTTCCTTCGCTCCACCACTAGTGAGTGAACCTTCACCCATGTTCCTGCCCTCTGGAATTCTCATCCAAAATGTCTTTGATTTCCGACTTCTTTTCTATCTCGATCTTCAAAAACTCTCCAAAGGACATCATTTTTATGATGCCTTTGGCCAATGCTCTTAAATCTCTCATTTCCCTGTTCAGTGTTTGCCATTGCATCTTTCAACATATAGATTTTTTAAAAAATCTACAGGAAGCTACATAAAATCAAGTTGTTCTGAATTACTGGGAAGAACAGTTTTGTGCTTCTAATAGAGGATTTTCCCAAGCAAAATCTCCTTTTTAACAAAACAGTTTGTTTTGAAGTCGACATGAAAGAGACCCTGGGCTGCATTCCACAAATAGCTGACCTCATCCCCACTCATGACTAAGTACTTAAGTGACATTTGATATTGAGGAATGGAGAGACACAAACTGCACCACATTATTCAGATGATCCCAACCCTCATCTTATTGCTGTTAAGAACAAATGACCCCAGAGGTGTTGGTGACGCACTGTCACACGGGTTAATCATCAACTTAGCAGATCATATGCAACCTTATGCATGGAGACAAATTCTACTTAATATTCACGGTGTGGAAGTCCAGTATGTCACCGTCAGCTGTACACACATTTGCTACACCTGCACTGGTTACTCTCAGTACCTTGCGCTCATCTGAGTACTTATGACCTACCCCTGCATTGGTTGTTTTCGGTCAGTTCATAGCCTGTGCCACAGCTGATCTCACGCTGGCATCGGTAGGACCCAACAGTATTAATGCAACGCTCTCCAGTCTGGCACTGGTGTTTGCTGGTCAGGCATTCGTTAAGATCTGAATCCAAAACAAACAGAAAGGTCTGGGCATTCTTCATATACTGCAGGCAAATACAAAGTTAGAACTCAAAATGAAAATCACAACTCCCTCATTATGTATGTTTACTGGTCCCAGAGAAAGAATGGAATTTAATTTGTTTCAATCTGTCCCAATGCACTGTATTACTCAGATAATTTACATTGCAACTTGCTACCTGTCTCATGAGATCAGTGTGATTTATTGGAGGAAGAGGGAAAGCTCCGAGTACCTTCACATGTGATCCCATCAGCCTTCAGTTTATACCCCACATCACAAGTGCAGATAACTGTGGTTCCTGTGTCAGTGCACTGCTGCTTGCAGGGACCACCGCCTGTTGGGACAAAAGCAGAAGCAAAGAAATGAGGTATGAAATGAAGATTATCTCATGCATATTTCTTCCAATCACAGTGTCTTAAAAAACCTAACATCTCTACCATCCCATCAGCAATGAGGCACCTGAACAATTTCAATCTGAAATTAAGTTGTTTACAATGCTTTCAACTCCTTGGGGAGCTACAAGATATCATTGAATATTAATCTCCATAGAAATCAGAAATAAAACTGTTCAACACAGGATGCAGCAAACTTAACCCGTATAAAGAAAATGCACTGCCACCTTAATTAGGTGAACATGCAAGTTTGCAGGTGGGCAAGAGTTCTTATCAAGCGCAGTCCAAAAATTCATGTGGCCTCAGCAGGTTATCCCTCAATCTCTTTCATGCAGACACAGATAAGATTTTTCGGGCGTATCTTCGGTTAACACTACGCTATTCATAAAAGTGACTTGTTCTGAATGGGGATGGTAAATAATGTCCAGCTTTGTTGCTGCTCTGCTCCTGGATTGAGATACGAAGATTTTACTGAGCAAATGCAAACCATAAGGCCAGAAGCAATTTATGTCTGGGAGTCAGATAAGAGATAAGAAAGTGTACACATCTCTTTTGGCACAGTCCTCAAAACTCAAACAATAGGTCTTTTTCACAATTCAGTCGCAGGTGGAAAGTATAGCAGTAATGATACCAATTCTGAAGACCGCAGAAAAATGAGGAATTTTGAAAATTAAAAAGAACTGTTATCATTTTATCACGAGGCCACGAGCCAGACTTTTACTGTGAGATGTGTAACATTAGAACGAGATGTCTGCAACGCTTTTCGCAAACGTGTTGAGGGCCCTGATTCAGATGTTGAAAGCTCTGAGACAACTATGAACCTGTGACCCGTGTAAGGTGTGTTTTCCTTCAATGAATGGGTTAAAAACAGAGGACCTGTGGTTCGGAGCAATGATGGATTAGAGAGACTGAATGCAAGTGTACAAAAATTTGCTTCTCAATCTGGTACTGCAAAAGACACTTTGTAAGCTCTGCAAAGGGTAATGACAGACATACAAGTGACTGAAATGCATTTACAAATTCTGTAAAGCAATCAACCATTAACATGCTTTCTGAACCTTTTGCCTTATCCTGGAATAACACTATGTGCAACATAGCACTGAACATGAACTCTGACAATTTCCTTCTGACAAGCGTAACCTGTAAAATGCACAAGCCTGGGACCATGTACCAAAAATCGGGGTGCATTTCAGTATACTGGGATGTGCGGCAGATAGAGAACCTAAAACGTTCATGTGAAAATTGTGCTAAAAAAATGCCTAAATCAGACAAGCACTCTGTATGTGGTGCAATGAATGAGTCAATAACTAATTTGACTTCTGAAAAAACTTCATGCTCCAAGATCAGACAAGCCACCTTATTCTGTACACGTGTATATTGTGCTTATAACCTTCTGAACAGAATGACAGCGCATAAATCTGCTGCTTCTTTGATGAAACATGCCTATACTGTATTTTAACACCGCAGACTTTGATTTGCAAAGTTTACAGTTGTCCATTGGCAAAATCTTCAGTAACAACTGTTTCATTAGAAGTCCACAATGGAATTTGGGACGTGAAAGTTGACAATTCATTTGTAAGTAGAAATTCTGGTTGTAAGATACCAATTCAAAAGACCACAGAAAAGTGAGGAATTGTGAAAATTAAAAAGGGCTGTTTTCATTGTATCACAAGGCCACACATTCATACAGGATGGACCGAGAGTAAGCATTTTTCTTCCCAATGCAACAAGAGCAAATATGGATACGGAGGAATGTTTTCCTCGCAAGATTACAATATTTGTTTGGATTTGAACGGCAGCAATCCTGCAGTCTCACTTTTATGAAATGGAAATTCCGCTTTCCCAAAGTGTACAGATTTACAGTTTAAAAATAGGTAACAGTTACTTAAATTGAGTGAGTGAAGCGGGTGGGACAGTGCTATAATCCAAACATACCCCTGCATCGATCGTTCAAGAAAGGATCTTCCACCTCTTGTGTTGCTTCCCAGACTTCTTCTACCTCGTCTGAAAGAAAGGAGAGCAACAGTGCGTTATGGGGAACTGCCACTAGAGGGAGACCTGTCCCTCTCAGGAAGTTCACGAATGTGTTCACTCTAAGAGTTGCCCAAACACTCTCTGTTTGAACAAACTGTCCAATTTCAGAAACAAAATCAAAAACCAGTTTCACAGAACGATATTGAGTGATGCAGTGAAATAATACATCAACAACTTGCATTTACATAGCGCCCTTCACGCGGGGTCTCAGAGAGATTTGTTAGCACCGCATGACAATGGAAAGAACATTGCAACCCATAATCACTGATAATATTCAGGTACATTCCCAAGTACTGCAAATGTACTCAAAGAGGTTTCGGCCAATTCAACTGTAGCAGATATATTTCAGCATTCTGAAGTCTCTGTGTCACAGTACAGAAATGTTTTTCAAATATGTTAAAAGAGAACACACGATAGTTGCCTCATTCTGTGGGTAACTGGAATCTTTTCAGATCACGGTTTGTGATGAAGGTGGGCAGAAGCCCCCAGCCTTCCATAAATTAACACACAGCTTCCAATATGTATTGACACACAGCTCCCTCAATTTTACATCCTCGGGGAGATGCTACCAATAAGAATAATCATAATGCTTGCATTTGATATATCCCTTATCACAAAGTTGAGACACCTCAAAGAGCTTCACAGAATATATACTGTAAAGTGGATTGACTGTATTATTGCATACGAAACACGGCAGCCAATGGCACTAACAGTCTTAAATTCAGGAATTATTATCTACGGAAAACGATCTGCCAAATCGACTAACAACCGGGTACCTACTTACTGCTAGGTAAGCAGAGGCATATAGAGTAAGGTAACTTGCCGAAGGTTTCACCCCACCTGGGAATCCAACCCGGCTCCTCTCACTTGCGAGGCAATCAGCAGTCCAACTGATGGTAGAAGGAGCGGCAACTCAGCCTATGGAGGAATTGTGGGCACAACCCTACTTACCTCTCCCCCAACAGAGCCATCACATTTACCAGCAGTGCTCTGCAGTACTCGATTTCTTTTCCGCTGCATTTGAAATCACATTTGTTTTGCAAACTATGGATAGAACACTCCAGCTCATTTTGTAACATGTTTATTGCCTAGAGATGACAAGCAGAGTTCAGTCACATTTACCTGAATTCATACCCGTGCCCAGAGCTGGATCTCGCAGTGTATTATTGTCTGGCAATGGATTGGTAGAGGTAGTCTCCTCTCCATCACAGCATTCTCTGTAGATCTGCCTACAATTGTATTCAAGGAACTGGGCTGCCTCACAGCCGAGCTGCTGGTCTTGGGCATGTTTACCCAGCAGGCAACATTGACAGCATCTCTGCAAAAGTAGAAAATGACCATCAAGTGGACACAGGTAGTACAGATCAAGTACAATTATCTGCCATGCCCCATATTTCTATGATGTACAACCTGTGGATTGAATTGCTTCTCCTACAGGTTGAATTTATTTATTGTTTTTTCTTTCCTTCCCCTCTGCTGAAAGCATTAGCTCAATGCTCGGAGACAGTTGCAAGGGCACCTGTACCCCAGTCATTCTTATTCTAAAGACAATATGTTGTGCCAGGACTGACAGCCCAGCATGTTCTTATTACCAACTGACATATGCACGACACAATTTTCAGCAGAGATCATGACATATGAGGAGAGGTGGGGGATGGTTTTAAGCAATATTTAACTTAGTTAACGTCAGTCAGGTATTGCTTTGAATAAATGTTACCACAAGGCTATACCAGGAACAACAGAGCACCCACAGTTAGAACCATGCGTATAAGAATGTAACTCATTGCTGAGAGGATCTGTGACCATGATTTGGTTCTTATTTGAGTAGAAATAATAATAATAATTGCATTACAGCGCCTTATCACATTGTTGAGAAGTTTCAAAGTGCTTCACAGGATAAACTTAAAGTGGATCGACTGTGTATTTTGTGGGCGAATCAAAGCAGCCAATTTCACACAGCAATGTCCCACAAAAAGCCATGGAGGTGGGATTGTTGGCCAGGACACCGGGAGAAACTCCCTTCTCTTTTCGAATAGTGCCTTAGGATCTTTTAACGCCCACTTCTTGCAGACAGACTTTGGTTTGCGTCTCGTCCGAATATGTATGGGGGGGGGGGGGGGTGGGTGATGGAGGGGCGCGGGGAGTAGAGAGGAAATGATCAAAGAAAAGCTGTACCTTCGTGGTTTGGCACATGTTCGGGGCTTGTGTATCACACGTCTGGTTGACACTGGCCATGTTTTTGCCATTGAAACACTGTATATCCTCCAGCTTCACCAGACAGCAGGTTTCCTGCGCCAAACTGTAATGTAGAATCCCAGAAAATGTGAGACATCTCACAATCAGGCACCAGAGGGCAGTCCAGCCAAGATAGCTTCACTTACATTGCCAAGACACACTGGCCACCAATTAACTGATTGATGCCACATTATTCTATGTCAGGTGAGGATCTCAGGTCAACAATTGTGACTAGGAGATAAGCCAGGGAGAAAGGGGAGTTGACCGTAAGGCACCGTTGAAGAGGAAAGTCTTCAGGTTGAATTAAAAAATAAAGGGGGTCTGAGACTGAGAGATTGAGCCCAGGAGTTCCAGAGGTTTGGGGTGTAGTGGCTGAAAGTATGGCCACCGATGATGGAGCAGAGGGGTCAGGGGCTGTGTAGGTTGAACCAGCTGTGTGAAGGGATCGGGTAGAAGCATGGGTGTGAGCAAGATTGGAGAGGTAGACGTGTTAGGGCATGAAATGATTTGTAAGTGAGTGTGAGCAGTGAATATGTGGAACAGATACCCAACAAAATGAGCTTGTACGTTTTTAATTCATTCCTTCTTTCAAACTCCCACTCATTTCTAATTCATCCATTTCTCCTCATTGTTCCATATGTGCTCAAAACACTGTACACTGCTGCTCTGTGGAGCGACTAAACAGAGGTGATCTGGTACAGTACATTCTTGAAGTCTTTGGTATAAACAGGTTATTTTCTTTTAAATATTTGAATTGTAACCACACATACAGTACATCTAGTCAATCGAATGCAGAGACTGATGGTGAAAAATATAATATTTACTCCACCCGTTCAGGTCATTTGCACTGCAGTCTAAAACTGGAGGTAAAGTTAGATTTTTGTTTCAGTGAATAGCTTATTGATTGTGGTCAGGGGCAAAGAATAGAAGAGCATACAGTCAGCATACAACCAAAAGATTGCCAATGCTAGCAATTTTCACCATGCACTTACCAGACAGCGACTGATCGATGCAAATTGTGGGATCTGAACACTGAACTGCTGAGAGGTCTTTGAAAAAACAACTTTGTAAGAAATAGTTTCATTGAAACAGATTTGTTTTGAGGTGGGTGAATGAGATATGAGCACTGTACCCAAGGACTATGCTTACTACGCAGAAAGATATACCAGATGTGTGTCGAAGAAAGAGATGAGCTTTGTGTCTGTGGCTAAAGTAATTGTAGAAAGAGAGATGAACTTTGTATCTGAGGGTTAAATTAAGATGGCTGTAGAGCACATAAATTAATTTTTTTTTGGCGTCGGTATTAAGCACTTGCAGGTGAGGAACAGTATGTATTTAGATGCACCTCGGAGTATGACTTTGAGTGCTCTCGTGTGGCGTTACTTCTACCCACACCATCCCATCAATCCTGACTTCTTAGTCAGATTGAATTTAATAACCAATCAGGACTGAATTATCAGCATTTTAAAGTGACTGCCTGGGGTCTGATGAAATAGCTTGCTCCGAATTCCTTTGAAGGGGGCAGCAAGTCCTCGTTTAGGTAAGCATCAAGTTAACTTAGAAAAACAAACCAGACTGTCGGAGGCTGTCATGGATGTGATGTGCTCTGAAAAGGTTCACATTCTGATGAGGGACATTTATATCACCATCTGTAGTAAAACTTTGAATAACACAGCGAAGTTTAGAGGAGGTAAAGTTTTTCACTCCAGGCTCCCTTTTAGAAGACAAAAAGTCTCCCAAGTTTTTCCCCTTAGGGAGAAACCTCTGATCTTTAACCATAGGGTTCTTTGGTAATTTGGGTTTATGACAATTCACTTCAAAAGCCCACTCCTGAAAGGCAGCACTGCAGGGTGCCACCACAGCTCAAGGGTTAAAGGCAACCATTTCCTGGAAAAAATCCAACACATACCTTCAACCTCCAATTGTTTTAACTCTCCCAACACATACAAGGCACAGTATTTCCTGTTTTTGCTGGTCTGCACCCCATTAAAAATCCATAGGCATTTCCTATGTTTTTCAATGCGATCTTCTCTTCCCCAAACACAAAGAGAATCTATTCTTTTTACAAACCATCATTCTCTGCCAAAATAAGTCAGTGGGAGTGGGAGTGCTTTTGACATTCTTTCAAACACAGAGTTGCCAGGCAATGTCTGAATGTAATGAGACTGCAATCGACTTGGTGCAAAACCTTCCAGGTGTCACATTAATTGAGGAGAGGAAGGCAACTCTTTGCAAAGGCAACTTAAAAATCTCTGCAGAAATAGCCACAGAGCTGCCATGGTCTTCACAGTAATTACAGGACATTTTGTTTTAAGAGTTAAACCTTCCTATGAAGTGCCCTAAAAACTTAATTACTAAACAGGATAATGCTTCCACCTCTGCCTTTGACAGTTGCAGATCACCCATAAAGTTAGCAGACATAAATTTTCTTTTCCTAATCAAAGTTCCACAGAACGTAGGTCTTATTCTTTTTTAAAATAAATCACCATCTACTGTACTGAGTTTCAATTGCGGCTTAACTGAAGTGATCGCTCCTCAAGGAACCCTGAATGAGGGAAGGCAACATTTTACATTCCTATTCAAGAAGGGATACTTGATCTTGGGTTGAGCTGGGGTTCCTTCTTCCACATACGTGCTGACATTCTCTTGGTTCGCATGCAAAGAACATCCTGCTGAAATAAAGCCTTGCATATACAGTAGTTGCATACAGGCTAATGAGTCTGTAATTGCCTATGTCAGATGTTACACCTTCTTCAAACATGTACAGGGTGTTTTGGCCATCCTCCCGATGTGAAAGGCGCTATACAAATGTAATTTTGTTATTGTTTGCCTATCTACATCCAAAGTTAGATTAAAGATTGACTGCTAATTTGTGCTACCACTTTTCCATGGCCTATCTGGGCACCTTGATACAATGGTTATCACCCTAGTGGTTTCCACTTGTAGTTTCCAATGCCCCCATTTGTTCATGTGTTGCAGTTATACCCTCAGGAAACACTCTAAGAGGCAACCAATTCAGGTTACTTGGTCTTTCAAAATCACACAGCAATAACAAGCTGGAACCTTCAGTACCACCTGCATCAAACTCTATCACTCAATCCTCGGCAGGCTCTACTGGCTCCATCTCTGAACGGATGGACTTTGAGATCCTCATCCTCACATACAAATCCCCTCATGCCCTAGCACCTCCCTACCTCTCTGACCTACCTCCTCATCTGACCTATTCCTCTGTCTGCCCCTTTCAGTCATAAAATCTACCTGTTCGACCGTGTCTTTTATCACCTCCTCCCCTTTACCTTTGCTCAGTTTCCAACCCTGTCACTGTAGATCGCTCCAACAACAAATTACATTTGTAAAGTGCCTTTCACATTGGGAAACTTGCAACATCGGGATTTGGGCCTGAGCTGGGGGTTGGGATCAGGAGGGGTGAAGGGCAGGGAGGCTAGGGATAGGAGGGTAACCGAAGGTGTGGTGGAAGAGGAGGGTCTTGAGACGGGCCTTGAAGGAGGCAAGGATAGAAGCGAGGCGAAGGGACTATGGGATGGCGTTCCAAAAGATGCGGCAGAGAGGCTGAAGGTGTGACCGCAGATGATGGAACGGGACGTGGGGGGCACTTGGAGCAGACTCAAACAAGACACCGAGATTCCGGACTGGCTCAGTGAGGTGGAGTGTGCAACCATGGACAATGTTGCTGTCAGCACCCAAGGTGTGGAGGCGCTGACAGGAGCCAATCAGAAGAGCCTCGGTCTTGTTGAAGTTCAACTGAAGAAAGTTAGCTCTCATCCAGGACTTGATGTCTGACAGACATTCTGTCAGGACAGCAGTAGTTTAACTTTCAGGGGATAATTTGCTGGAAGTAATCCTACGTGAAAGGGGGCTAAATGTTGTTTTTGTTCAGTAACTGAAGGAAATTCCTAACAAACTAAACAATTATTTTTAATCAGGGTGGGAATTAATAACGCTCACTCTTAGCACAGTATTTGCTGCAATAAAAATCTTTGCTTCAAAACAACAGCTAAAACACAGGCACATATCTGTGTTATTAGTTATATGTTAAAAGGCACATTTTGGAATATATGGAATATTTAAAGATATACCTGCAGTAAGGCAAATCCGATTGGGGCAGAGCGTCACATTCAAATGTCTCTGAAGCCAATCTTATTCCATTTGAACAGCACTCACTGTAAGTCTGTGCTCTCACTGCAATCAAAGAAAATAAGTAAGAGGAAAGAATATCAGTGAAGGTAAGTTAATGTAGATACAATTGATTTTTCCTGATTAATTATCGATAAGCGATGCTCAATTCTGCTATTTGTACAATACAATTTACATTTATATAGCATCCTTCAAGTCGAGAGGATGCGCCTATTTTGGGGCCCTTTGAGGACAATTTTTTAACAAGGGTCACAAAATATTTGCAAACTCTTTTGGTATGAACTGAATAAAGGCCAACAGAATAAATGCTAAATACATCAATGGCCAAGATGACTTTTGGGTAAAAAGCCGAGTGGAGCAAGGATCTCGTATCTGTGATCTACTGTCAGACGCAGTACTAAATCTTGGGGGGGAAGCAGGGGAGAAAACCACAAAAACATTGTGGTTTATCAAAGCCAGATACTCAATCTTCTGTCAGGACAATTTACTCATTCAACTCCACAATCCTTCGGATGAAGAAAGATTTATATTTACGTTTCGAATCTCAAGCGATTTCCTCTAAACTTGCAACAAGCACTTAAGAGCGTCTGAAGACTCCTCACTGAGATTGTGCCTCCTTCAATTTGACAAGTTACATGGGCCACAATTAAAATACACTGTTCACTTCAAAAGTAATCCTGCTCCGGAGAACAAAGCAGGAGATATTTACACAATTATCCACTGAGCAATGCAATAAAGGCACACTTCCAACTGTGTCCTGTACCTTCATACTCACCCAGTTATACATGTTGGCACATACAGTATTTAGTGTTTTTAAGGAGAAACAAAAAACCTACACATTTGAACCAACAAATTAAGTGCTACATATATTAGTAATAGTCCTTGCATAGTAAGTACTAGTACTACTAGTAATAGTGATAATCCACATTGTGTTTTTCACATCAAAAAGATGTCCCAAAGTTCTTCACAGAATTCACTGTAAAGTGCAGTGACTGTGTATTTCGTAAACAGCAATGTCCACAAACAGCTGTGAAGTGAAAGACCAATTTTATCCAGGGCAATGTTGACTGGATCGCTGGAAAAACTCCTTTTTGAATAGTGAGATAGGATAGGATCAATAGGATCTTTAACATTTACTTAACCAGACGGTCAAGACCTGGGTTTAACGCCTCATCTGTAGGATGGCACCTGCAACAAGGCAGCACTACCCCAGCACTGCATTGCCTACACTGAACTCAAAGCCCTGATTTTCATGAGCTCAGTCTTCTTTTGAAAGAAACAATTCTTTTTACGCGAGTAACCACTTGCAGTGGCACTGAACATTTTCAAAAATACACTGTTTTGGGTTATGGATATGTATTTAGGGAAAAAAAACCTGCTTTACTTTAAAGTCCTTCATCTGCAGCCTTTATTGTTGCCAGTCACGCAGCCAGGAACCACATGCAACGATTCCAACTACGACCAATCTGTCAACAACAGCTAGTGATCCAGTGGCGGGGTATGTTATTTAAAACAGGCAAATAAAGCTTATAAATCGATTTACCAGATTTGATCAATGTAAATGACATCCATATAATAATAATTTTGGGTCCTGTAGCTCCATGGTTAGAGCACTCGCCTCGCAAGCAAGAGATCTGGATTTTGATTCCTGGCAGGGCGAAACATTGAGCATGTTTCCTTACTCCACGTGCCTCTGTTTACCTAGCAGTAAGTAAGAACCCGATTGTTAGTGGATTGTCGGATAATTTGGTCACTCAATCCATTGTTCGTGGGACACTGCTGTGCACAAATGGCTGCCACGTTTCACCCACAAATCCAGTGGAGGGAGTTTACTTTACAGTATATTCTGTGAAGTGCATTGAGACGTCTCGGAGATGTCAAAAGCGTTATATCAAATGCAAGGATTATTTTTATAATCCTTGCATTTCACATAGCGCCTTATCACGTCATTAGACGTCTCAAAGTGCTTCACAGAATATACTCTAAAGTGAATTGACTGTATATTTTGTGGGAAAATATCCATGAATAATGAAGTTGAGGTGCAGAACCTATTCATGAGTCACAACGCTGTGAAGATTTCATCACAGCTGTTTTGCGCCAAACTCCAGTAAAATTTATGGCTGGAAACCATGCAATCTAGGAGAATGGAAATCTGGATTAATCCGTCTGTTTTCAAATGCTTTTGCCCAGGCAAAAGAGAGCTCTGTGCAACTTGATCCCAGTGATACTTCTAACCTTGTACAATAATAAGCAATACTAAATGTGGTACTGTAGTGGGGAGCTGGGTCAAACAAAATGACTGTGATGGCTTTTGATTCCTTTGAACTAAGATGTGATCCATTTGATTTACATATGCTGAAAAGAAAACACAATTCAATTTGTGAATGTCAATTACAAATAGACTGAACTTGTAATTCTACAGTTCAGAAGTACATACTGCATACTAACCCCTGGAGCATATCTCAAAGACATGCAAAAATACAGATTGCAAAAACACTCACCCAACCACCATGAGATCACAAAAGAATGGACACTTTGCTGCCAAAATGCTTTTCAACGTCTTTTTTACATCCCAACAATATAAATAAAATTAGTTGTTCCAGAGAGACACCATAGAAACATTCTTTACAGTGTATGTCAAAAATGTTTGTGATAAATGGTCAGAAAGCAGCCAAAAGGTTTAATGATAGAAATGTATGATTTCAGAAACAGTCGTCTGGCACGTTGATCTGTATCAATTTTCTTTCACACTGAGCAATACTGGCTTGGTTTGGAGCAGGTTGTGCAACTCCCTGAGTGATTGTCTCAAACGCAGAAAGATTATGCAGAGGAAGAGAACATTTATAGTGATGTTGGCAGTCTGTCATTGTCATGCACTTCCAGCCATCCGAAGAGCTGATTCTGAAATTTAAAAAGCCTGGATTTAAAAAGGGGATTAACTGGATTCCTTCTCAGAGGCTTTATTGGACATGATATCTTTCAGATGAACTGAGGGCCGTCTGCCTGTTCATCCGGATATTTAAGATCCATTAATACTATTTGAAAAGTTAAGGGAGTTTCACCCAGTATAGTCCTCCATTGTGGGACTCTGCTTGCATAAATGGTCAATTTAAAATTCAAGTTATTTCTTTTGCAATCCCATATGCCATGAGGTGGGTACCAGAGTCAATAATGTTCTCACCTTTAAACATCATTGGCTGGTTGCTTTGTGCCAAGAAATACTGCATTGACCTTGCTGTAATCTTGACATCAATTGTTGGCAATCATGATATATCCTTGGAGTATTTACATTATTGTCTTTATTCCTTTCATCAAGATGGTGTCACACCACAAACACATGCCCATATAAGTCATCTGAACATTTCAATTACATAAGCATTATGCAGTAGCTCTGGAGTGTGTATTCTTGTTTGGATGCATCATTGAACATTTCAATGTAATAAATGCTTTTGCAAACAATCAAAATTAATCACATTCATTCCTCCCTCAGAAAACCACCTTACAATCACATTCGGATAGCCATCATTCCTTTATCATCTACATTCATTTATAACTTAATAACCAAACATTCCACAGGATTTAGAATAGACATGATTTTTAAATCATAAAGGGTTCTTTAGACCATTGTACAAAACATAAAAACCTAGTCAATGCAGTGAACAATAGTCATCAGGACAGTATAATGGGAGACAAATTCTGGGTGTCAAACACTTAAAGTGGAAAGAGAAATGCACAGGGGATTGTTTGCTCCGGAGCGTAGAAATATATTTTGAGTTCAGGCCTCACATCAGGAATTTGAACTCATTCTCAAGGCTGACATCCAATTCATTAGTGGATCTCAAGCGCTGAATTGTCAGAAATACTGTCCTTCAAGTGAAATGTTAAACCTATCTGCCTGTTCAAGTGGACTCAAAACATCCTTTGGCATTATTCAAAAAGGAGGAGAGCTTCGCCAGGGCATGTAGGAAATAAAATTCAGAATGGGGTCACTTGAAGTGATTTCTCGTCATGTATGGTCTTCTGACTTCAACACTGAAGTTAGCTTTATTTTCTTCTTTCCTCCTGTAAGAATGCCATCATTGCTTCCACTGCACTGAGAAAAAGGACATTTCTTGATACAAGCTGCTCCCCTGCCATTTGCTACAAAACTGCCTAATCTGAGAATTTTGAAGGAAGGAACCTTGTCCGCTCTGGTGAGATATGGCATTGCAACAACAACAAGATTTCATTTATAGAGCGCCTTTCACGTCGGGAGGACGTCCCAATGCGTTGGGACAGATGGGTCGGGACCCGAGCAGGGGGGAAGTGGTCAGGGTGAGGGGAGGGAAGGGAGGGAGCGAGGAGGGAGTAGAGAGTTGAGAGGGGAGCTGAAGGCACGGTCGAAGAGAAAGGTCTTGAGACCGGCCTTGAAGGAGGAGAGGGAGGAAGCAAGGCAAAGGCACTGGGGGATGGAGTTCCAGAGCCTCGGGGCTGAGAAGCTGAAGGCCCGGCCACCGATGATAGGGCGGTTAGGGCGGGGGATGTGGAGCAGACCGGAGCCAGAGGAACGGAGGGTACGGGCAGGTAAGTAGGGGGATAGTAGGTCGGAGAGGTAGGAGGGAGCAAGGCCGTGAATGGCCTTGTAGGTGAGGATGAGGATCTTGAATTCGATCCTCTGGGGGATGGGGAGCCAGTGGAGGCGAGCGAGGGTGGGAGTGATGTGGTCCCGAAGCCTGGTGCGGGACAGTACACGAGCTGCAGAGTTCTGAATGACCTGCAGCTTGTGGAGGGAGGTGGCGGGAAGGCCGGCGAGGAGAGAGTTCCCATAGTCCAGCCTTGAGGTGATAAAGGCGTGGACCAGAGTTTCAGCAGCGTGAGGGGTGAGGTAGTGCCGTAGTCTGGCGATGTTCCGGAGGTGATGGAAGGCGGTGCCAGTTGTGGCGCGGATATGAGGAAGAAAGGACAGCTCAGGGTCGAACAGAACCCCGAGGTTCCTGACTGGCTTTGAGAGGTGGAGAGTGCAGCCTTGGATGCTGATGCTGTCAGCGCCTGAGGTGCGGAGGCGC